AATTCCTCATATCAGTGAGATCATAGGATACATGCACAATTCACAGCGCTTACCAGAGCACATACCCTCCCCAGTGTCTATCACCCAGTCACCCCATCCCTCCCACCCCACCCCCCACTCCAATCCACCCTCACTTCTGAGTTAATGAAAACAATGGTGTGCCTCTTTGCCTAGAAATATCTCCTCTATTTGTTCCTTCTTCCTCCTTCCCCGTTGCCCAGTTCTGAACTCGGCCTTCCTTGTCTCATGCTTCCAGGTTTGCTCTAGTCTTTGTCAATCTTCATCTCAAAGCTAGATTAACCCTCCCTTAAGAACTGTCTTCTTCATTTTACTCCTGGGCTCCAGAATGGACAATAGGTTTCATAGCTGCTTGTGGCCTACAATACGACTTCCAAACTTCAAATTTCCTTTCAAATTAACTTGCCACCCTTGTTGCTCTTCAACATATTGTGCTTTCTCCTACTTCTGTTGTCTTCATCATTTCTCCAAGAATTATCTATTTTTTCCTTTCAGTCTAACTATTCTCTACTAATCCTTCAAGGTCAAATTCAGGGCTCACCTTCTCTGGGGAGCTTTCATTCATGTTTCCTTTGATTAACTCTTTATTCCATACAGTATTCAATTCTTTCAATATCTCAACTACACAATTAATGCAATATAAATAAGCCATACTAATACTGTACATATATAAATGTCAGCACACATTTATAGAAATGTCTATATTGTTCATTGTTTCACGTGCGTGGGCCATGTATCTCCAACGAGACTGCAAGTGTCTTCCAGGTAAATTCTCTACAGCATAACTGATTTTCCAGTTTGTTCCCCTTAGAATCTACCCATCAAAAAGTGTGTTTTGATTGATTAATCATTATTTATACCTTAATATTTTACTTCCCAATTTATGCTTCTTTCATTTTTGTCAGTTTTAGATTTTTTTAGAGCCCCAAGGGACCACTGGTAGATTGTATTATTGTTCAAAATCATTTACTTTCTTCTTCCCTTTATGTGAAGTACAGTTCCTCACCCCATCGATTTGGGCTTGACCATGAGACTCTTTGGTTAGTGGTTTGTAAGCAGATGTGACATATGCCACATCCATGCAAGAAGCACAGGAAATACTGCAGGTTTCTGGCAGCCCCTTCTGCAACTTCTCATTGCCATGAAAACAGCTTGTCTCAGATAGGGCCACTTTTCCAGCCTGGCGCTGGAATGAGAAGTGGCCCAGGAAGACCTGCAGGTGACCTGCAGCTTGCTGCACAATTCCGCCAAATCACAGCCCTACGTTTCACGAATGCAAAAAAGTCACTGATGCTTTGGGGTTGTTTGCTACAGAGAAAGGCTGACTTACGTAAGACCTTGGGGTTAATCTAACTTCCGCTTTGTAGATAAGGAGAGAGGCCTAGATTTTTTTTGTTAGCTAATGGAAGAGTTTTAACATAAATTCTAGACTGCTGACTTAGTTTTTTGTTTTTTGTTTTTGTTTTTGTTTTGTTTAACACAAAATATCTGGCTTTTTGCTATCCTAAAATTTGGAGGAATGCAACTCAAATAGTTTGAAATTTGGGGCCTTAGTATTACCTGGTATTGCCCTCTTGGTCTGGCATTGGCTTTTAGAAAATAGGTAGAAAAATATCTAGAAAATAAACAACATGCACTATCAGTGTCAAGTGAAATATACTCTACCTGAAAGATACAGCTCTCCCTTAGGCCCACACTTGTTTGGTAGTAGATAGAATGAAATGCAGTGATCTTTGGGAGTGCCTCGCAGGCCCAAGCCTTTCATATACATTGTTCATCTAAAGTATACATTTCAAAACCTTTTTTCTTAAAAAACTTATATAAGAAAATTCTAATTTGAGGATAGGTATAATTTCTTAATAAAACCATCCGCTTAATTCCCTGACAAAGTCTCATGTACTTTGACGCCGCATAGGGACTCTAAAATTCTTATCCTTTTCCTTTGCAAAATTCAGATGGAAACATCCCTGTCATTATGTGCCTCAGTACATCAGAACTTTGACTTGGTCCTGAAGTTTATTTTATGCTTTGGTGTTCTTGAAAGGAACTAATTTTGCCAACTCTATGATATTTAAAATTCAGAGAGTAAACTAAGTTCTAAAGAAATTATTAACATACTACTTCCTTTTGTATATCAATTTTTAAAGAGTAAACCAGTTCTATGCAGCAATATTTTTCCCTTTTTATGAAAAAATAATATCTTACTACATGCTTTAGGAAATGCATGTCTTACTAAATAACATTTATAACTACCTTTTATTGTTGTTTACTATGCTTTTCCAAATAAAGAAAACAAAATGTAATAAAACTACATGTGTAACCAAGTAGATTTTTTCTGTTTTTTTGTCTTTCTTTACTTGGAGCACACACAAACCTTACCTTTGTGAAAAAACATCCCTGTAAGGACTTCCATGTTGCAGTGCAATTCCATATCCCCGATCAGCAACAGTGTTCCCAATGGTGTAAAATGAACAATCCGGGTCATTGATAGCCACATATTCCAATACAGCTGCGTCCCATACAAAAGCATAATTTCCATATTTTACCTGTGAAAAATGGAGAACACAAGAAGAAAATAGGATTTGAGTTTGGAATTTTAAGTTATACAGATAGGATAAAACATACTACATTTGTGTCTATTTAATTGGTTAAAACATCATAGGACTTATGTTTTTAAATACCTATTCTGAATGAGATTTTGGCTTTTGGTTAATTTACAGCTCTGTTCTCCTGGAAATGTGATAAAGTTAGAATGTTAAGTATGTTTCCAGGCAACATAGCTTATGGTAAAATGACCCTTGAGTAGTAAATGTCACCGGACTGGGAGAACAATAAATGTATGGGAAGAAGCCATGTCTTTGAGCTTCTCTGAGTGCAGTCATTCCTGTAATTGGCGCTTTCTCTTTGGGGACTTGGAAGTTACATTTTTGAAGTTGTTACAAGAGATACTGGCTCCTTTCGGTCACTAGGCTTCTAAGCCAGGTAGGCTTTTGTACCCACCCCATATAAGGTACGATCTCCTTGCATGTGACCTATGTTCCAAATGAATGCTGCAAGTCCAAGTCACACTGAAGAAAAATAATCAACACTGCCCTGCTGGCAAGATGTATTTCCTAATTTATGTTATTCTAAGGTAATTTGTTGCCAAGTGTGGTCTATGGCAATTTTGCAGCTGGACTTAGATGAAACCCCTTTGGTGGACATTGCAATGAGGAACAAATAATTATACAATCTTCTCTATCATTATTTAGGGAACATAAATTTGTTCCGAGTTGTTTACTTTTTAGTGATTATCTTTTATTTATAAGTGTGACTTTTCCCCCCCTAAATTACAAATGTATCAAAAATAAAACACAATCTTAATAAAATTAATTTAAAAAATGTTATATAGGGGCTCCTAGGTGGCCTGGTCAGTTGAGCGCCCAATTCTTGGTTTTGGCTCAGGTTGTAATCTCATGGATCGTAAGTTCTAGGCCTGCATGGGACTCCCTGATCAGTGGGAAGTCTGCTTGGGAATTCTCTCCCTCTGCCCCTCCCCCCACTCACGTGTGCACCTGCTCTCTCCCTCTCAAATTAATAAATCTTAAAAAAATATTATATATAAATATAGAATTTAATGAATTCATAAAAATAAACAGAACTAATAATTAAATCAAATATTCAGTTAGTTAGCTAGTTTATTTATTTATTTATTTGAGGGAAATTAATTTCCTGGTAAATCTGATGAAGGGAAAGAGAAAAATTCCTTTTCAGAGAGTTCGTTGTTTGTGTATAGAAATGCCACTGATTTTTGTATGCTGATTTTGTATTCTGCAACTTTACTGAGTTCATTTATTAGTTCTAACAGGCTTTTTTTATGTTTAGTCTTTAAGATTTTCTAACATATGATCTTATCATCTGCAAATAGAGATAATTTGACTTCTTCCTTTCTGATGTGGATATTTTTATTTCTTTTTCCTGTCTAATTGCTCTGGTTGGGACTTCTAGTATTATGTTGAATGGAAGTGGTGAGAATGAGCATCTTTGTCTTGTACCTTTATAGTACTGGAGTCAAGTCCTCAGGGGATAGGCTGCTTTCAGGAATGCAGACAGGACAACAGTTGGTTGACCAAGCACTGACATATAGCCCTGCCTCTTAAAAGCATTCTTATTTTAATTTTTAATTTTCTTATTTTTTTAAGGGGGGACAGGGAGGTGTAGAAGGAGAGAGAGAGACAGAGAGAGAGAATCTTAAGTAGGCTCCATGCCCAGTGTGGAGCCCAATGTGGGGCTTGATTTCAAGACCCTGAGATCATGACCTGAGCTGAAATCAAGAGTCGCCACCCAGGTGCGCCTCTTGAAAGCATTCTTATTCAGTCTTAGACTCTGCCAGGATTTCACAACTAGGATCCCAAAGTTCTCACAAAGGTATTTTGTGCATGGATGGCTGCCAAACTGTTGTTTCTTTGAGAGGACCTCCTAATCCCTCATGCTGCTGATACTACTTCCTCTAACTATCAGTATTTATATGTAAAATTTTTATCAACATGTATACCTCATGTAGGCATGGGAGATACCCTGGGAAAAACGAGTAGCTCAAAGAGGTGGCTTTAGAATTCAGGATTAAAAGCCATCTAATTTGGAAAGGGGGGAGGGGAAGTAGGCCTCTTAGGGGAGAGTAAATCATATTTATGAACGATGAATGGCCTTTGGTAGAATACATGAGAGGTGTGATGTTTTGTGACAAAATTTGTCTGTATGTGGTGCTCACTTCTAGTCTCTTCTGTGATGAGAGTCATTCCCTGTTGATGACACTCCCAGAGAGGGCATTTATGACACTTGAGTTCCTTTTGAAGGATTTATGTTTAGGTAAACAAGGGTTGTTTAGAGAAAGCTTCTCCCTGCATTTGCTGTTTTTCAAGTGCTTTCAGCTCAAAATCATCAATATTCCAAAGTAGCATATTTTGGGGTGGCATATTCTGTTACCCTTAATCACCAACTTTCATATTTACTTTTAGCCTCCTGGGTATAAACCTATAGTAACAGAGAGATAGCAGTGACCCTGAAGCCTCCTCTAAAAACCTACTTTGATTTTTGCTATTCTCTTCTTTCAAACAGCCACGATGGCATCCTGGATCCCCTTGGACTTCTTTATAACACTCAAGGGACTTCCCCAGTTGGGGACATATTGCTTTGCTGTTAGAAAAGTGTTCTAGCATTGCTGTTACTGCTTTGTGAACCATAAAGCTCTATTTAAATGTATATTAACATTATCATTGCCATTATATACATGTTTCTAATAATTCTAATGTTACAAAGCATTATGAATTCATTTTCAAAAGGGGAACCATTAAAAGACTATGATTATAGCCTGTAGCAATACCAATGAAATGTTGCATAGTAACCCAAACTATTTAGCTTTTAAAAATATCCCTGTTTTTTTTTTTTTTCCCCCAACTACTAAAACATACAAACATTGTCCTTTGGGTGGTTTTTAACTATTAGGTTAAAACTATCTAGAAAATACTCATCAACAAAACCTAAAGTCACTTTCCAAGAGAATAACAATTGAAGGTTTGGAATTTTCAATCCATCTGACTAGGTGATGGATATTACTTAAAAATTTTAACTAGTCTTTGCTCTTGAAGTCATGTTTGGATAAGCAGCTACACTGTGGGCCATTGACTTATTAACAGTGGATTCCATGCCAACTGAGTGTTTCATTGCAGGTTAAACAGAGGATGAAAGTACATCCGGAAGCTTTATGTCATCATATTCCAGGCCCCATTTATGAGAAAGGGAAAAGAATCCAAAATGGCATCTAACTCCAATATTATCAATCTCTGCTTTCTAAAATAGAGATACCAGAATGCTGTGGTGATTAATGGATGATGGTGGCTGCTCATGTTTAACACCTGTGTCCTTATAATGGGGCTGAGATGCCAGTAACCTTGATGGATTTCTCATTGCTGAGATAACATAAGGCTTTGTTTCATTTCCACAATATTATTACAGGAATCTTTCTTTGAATTCTGTTTTACTCACAATCATTATGCATTAATTTGAAGATCCTAAAGGGATCTGTAAGGAATATAAAGGTAAGACTTGGGCTCCTGCCTCAAGCTGCTTACAACTCAGTAGTGAAGATAAGTCAAGTACTACTTGCTATAACATAAAGCACATTATGGAAGTACCACACAAAAAGCTTAAAATGTTAAAGTGGTTTAAAGAAAGGGAAACTTAATTTTCATTGGGGGAATAAGGACAGTCTGCTTAAACATTCTGGTAACTGAAATAGTTGTACAAGAAAACCCCAAATATTAACATTACTTATCTTTAGTGCCTGATTAAACATGGAAACTCTTTGGAAACCATTTTTTTTTGTTCATGCTCACTCTTTTAACCTTCTAGTTTCCTGCAATTTTCCATCTCAGCTGAAGAATTATAAACATTCAATGTTATTTTCTTAAATATTTGCATTTCTTGCCAAGTAAGCGAAGGATGAGAAAATGTATTTTCCAAACCTGCATCTGTATTCCTCACCATGTTATGGAGTATGTCATATTTCCTTTCCTCTGTAGAATCCTCTTGTCTTGAATACCCCTGTTCTGACACCTCTATCATGACCTAATGCTAAAAGCACTTTTCTTTTCAATTCATTAGGCAGCTATCTTCTGAAAAAATTGCAGAAGCCTACACCAGAAACAAATAGACTTTCATTACCTGTTATCCCAAGGACTTTGGTTTTAATTGGGAAGCCGTATTCTTTCTCACACAAATCTTTAATTTAGCAAATTACTTAAAAGCTCACTTCAAAATCTATAGCTACAGAGATACATCAATGATGATCCTTTTTTTACTAAAAAAAAACCAGTGGGACAATTATGGAAAGATGACATTTAAACTGAAGTGTAAGATGAGATATCTCTTCACTGAAGAAAGAATATCCTCCCTCTATCCTCCATTTCTTCCTCGTGATAATAGTTAACATTTATAAAGCATTTTTTCCATCCTTAAAAAATGCCCTTCACACATAAGTTTATTTGTTCTTTACAACACTATGAGGCAGCTGATATTATGATACCTAACTCACGATCTGGTAATAGAACTTGTTCTAAGTCACACCAATGACTAGTGGTAGATTTGAAACTTGAGCTCAAGGTCATCTTCTAGGCTTTTTTCACTACATTAACAATCAATTTCTGAGAGACACTTGCTATAGGAATATAAAAATGTGTGAGATATGGTAGCCCTTGCCTTCAAGGCATATTCTATCTAGTTTGAAAAATAATATTTATATAATAAAAATAATACAACATAGTATAAAGCAAGAGCCAAGAAAAGAATGCAACTTCTTTAATGCTATGTGATCACACTATTAAAATAAATAAAAGTTAAGCTTTTAAAAAACAGGTTGCTTATTACTCAGCCATAAAAAAGAACAAAATCTTGCCATTTGCAACGACCTGGATGGAGCTAGGGAGTATAATGCTAAGCGAAATAAGTCAGCCAGAGAAAGACAAATACCATAGGCTTTTGAAAACTCATATGTGGAATTTAAGAAACA